TCTCTCTCTCTCTCTCTCTCTCAATAAATAAATAAAAATTTAAAAAAAAAAGAGGTTAAAGAAAATTCCATTATCCTTTTTCTCAGTTATGCTTTTTCATTTTTAGCTGATAAAAGAATAAAGCATACACATTTATCAAGTGACATAATGTATGAGAAAAAGCTCTTGATAAACTTATAATACGTTTATTGGGATCTCAGAAATTATTAAAAATCTGGTTCATTTTGGGCATTTTTGCAACTCAGTGTAATTAGATTGAGTTTCGTAATAAAAGCTGCAGAATCCTGAGGTGCTTTAGATTTATCAAAGATTAAACAGTATGCGGCTTTGTCTTCCTATTATTGTGCTTCATTATAACCCATATCTTTGGAAGTTTTTAGTTCATGTGTGTATATTTGTATGGTAGTCTGTGTTCCCCAGGAAGCAGAGTCTGAGATTTTTGTGCCAGGCGTTGGCTGAGAGTGCTGTCATGATCAACACTTGAGGGCAGGCCTGGGTAGGATGGGGCTATGTTGTGGTCATAAGGCTTCAGCCAGCCCTACAGAGAGCTCTGAGATTTGCTTAGTCTTTCAGAGTTACCTCAACTTGGGGTGAGGAAGCCTGGCCTTTATACCCTTTATTAGTTAGCTGTTGTTGCATAATAGATTACCCCCAAACGTAGCTTAAAACAACAAACATTTATCATCTTATCATCTCTCTGGGTCAGGAGTCTGGGGCAGCTTAGATGGCCACTTTTACCTCACAGTTTCTCCCAAGGCTACAGTAAAGGTTGGCTAGGTCAGTCTTCACTTCATGGTTTCACTGGGGGAATTTACTTCCCAGACCTCTTACATGGTTGCTGGCAAGCTTTAGAATGTCTACTTCCAAGTTCACTCATGTGGCTGTTAGCCAGAGACATCAGTTTCTTTCCATGTGGGCTTCCTCATAAGGCAGCCCACAATATGGCAACTGGCTTCCTTCAGAGCAAGTAAGCAAAATGAAAGTGCCCAGGACAGAAGCCACAGTATTTTGTAATCTAATCTCAGAAGTGACCACACATCATTTTTGCCATATTTTATTTGTTAGAAGCAAGTCACTGTGTCCTGCCCACACTCAGGGGCAGAGAATGACACAAGGGCATGAACATCAGTAGGCAGGGATCTTTGTTGGCCATCTTAGAAGCTGCCTACCAACTCCCATAGCATCCGGTCACGGTGCAGGCTGCCCAAGACAGGACATGACCTCAGATGAAGCAGTTCTCTTCTTAAGCTGAGGTGACTCCCGAAGAGGGGATACAGCTGAGGATTGTGGATAGACAGCCTTCCTGACAGCTAAGGCAATAAACCCTTTAGTCGTAAATGGGAGCTAGGTGGAACTGAACAGCATCCACTTGAATATGTATAACCCTTAGTTAACCCAGTATATTTAATAAACCGGAATTTCTCAATCTTGTTATTTTAAACTGTGCAACATGTTATATTTCCTTAAGCATTTTTTGCTTTTGTTTTGGTTTTAGCATTCTTAGAAACACCTCTTATGTGTGTTACTTTACAGAGTATATTACATACAAGACTGTTCAGTGAGTATATTCACTGAAATAACACTTTTTTAGTCTGATTTTACAGGAAAAATTATATTGTACTGTGTATCAGAATCATTCCCTTTCTGATAATAGCAGTTCAGTTGAAATTTTTTTAGCAAGCAGCATAAAACAAATCTTTACCTTGCACTGAGTCATTTTTAAAAACTTGTAGCTGGGGGCGTGTGACTGGCTCAGTCGGTGGAGCGTGCGACTCTTGATCTCAGGATTGTTAAGTTTGAACCCCACGCTGGGTGTAGAGATTACTTAAAAACAAAATCTTAAAAAAAAAAAAAAAGACCCTTTTAGGTGAGCTACAAGATCCTAAATGCAAGAGAATTTTCAAAACAGTATTTTCCCTTTTCCTAGATAATGTACAATTGATAAATGGAACTAAGAGGTGATTAGGAACATGTTTCTTTTTCAGATTGTAAATTTTAATTGCGTTAAGTTGTAAGAATTTATGTCTTATTTAATCTTCTGCTTTGAACTTTCAGGCATGATTTCCTTTATCTCCTCTTTTTTATTTATTTATTTTTTAATTTTTTTTAATTTTATAGGTGAAGAACAAGTCCCTGATTTTGTCACTTTTCTTTATCAAATAACCAGAGGAATTGCAGCAAGGAGTTATGGACTAAATGTGGCTAAACTAGCAGATGTTCCTGGAGAAATTTTAAAGAAAGCAGCTAGCAAGTCAAAAGAGTTAGAAGGATTAGTAAATACGAAGAGGTCAGAACGATTGTGTTGCATTTTTTGGTTTATAATGAAACCTTCCAAGTTGTCCAAGGAAGAGGAGTGTCCTGTAAATGAACGTCAGATTTACCTTTAAGCATTTCTTCAAATATTCTGAAACATATAATTAAAATGAAAACAGATCTTTGAAAAGCTCATGTGAATTCAGTCCGCCTTCTCTACTCAGATCTTTATCTGTTAAGTTGCTAAATTGGTTTTTCAGTCATTTTTCTAAAGAACTAAGTTAACTCCTTACTGTGTGCCAACACATTATTTGCTTAAAGCATTCAGTTATATAACAAATTACTAAAAGAAACCATGACATTTAAAACCTTTAGAGTACTTCCTTTATTCATATATGCATTCAGAAAATAAGAATTCTGTCAGGACATGAATGAAAATAATAGTATTATATAACTATGTAATTGTAGTCAGTATTCCCCTGTCACTTCTTTTGTGGATTGTTTGTGACAAATGTTTCATTCTAAACTACCTGCGGGGCACCTGGGTAGATCAGTTGGTTGGGGGTCCGACTCTTGATCTCAGGTCGGGTGTTGATCTCAGGGTCATGAATTCAAGCCCCATGTTGGGCTCCACACTGGGGATGGAGTCTACTTAAAAAAAATAAATAAATAACAGCTTTATTGGGGTACCTGTGTGGCACAGTAAGTTAAACGTCCGACTCTTGGTGTCGGCTCAGGTCATGATCTCAGGGTTGTGAGATTGAGCCCCCTGTTGGGCTCCACACTCAGTGAAGAGTCTACTTAAAGACTCTCTCTTCCTCTCCCTCTGCCCCTCCCCCCCACTCTCTCTTGCTCTTTCTCTCAGAGATGAATAAATAAATCTTTAAACTGCCTTCTCTCTGTCACTTAGAATGCTTACATGAATGCATTCTATCTTTTACCCTTGATATCCAGCCAGTATGTAGTCAGTATATTAACTAATATTAATATATATCTGAGGTATACTTTGGAAGAAAGATATTCCTAGAAAAATACCATATTAAAAAATAATAAATTACAGCCTCTTTTCCCCCAAATACAAGATTATATGATAAAAGGACATAAGCTCCTCATCCATCTCTTGCCCCACTCCTGCACTACCTGGAAAGTCTCATATGCCTGGGGCAAGACATTACCACCTTGGTTGATAACCATGTGACCACGAGGGAAATTTTCTATTTGTTAGTCAAATAGAAAATCTTGGCTGGGGGCACTTGGGTGGCTCAGTTGTTAAGCGTCTGCCTTCGGCTCAGGAAAATCTTGGCTCGGTCATCATACTACAAGAAAAATTTTAGTCCTGGAAATCATTACCAAATTTAAATACTGAAATAGCAATACCTAATATTAGTTAAACAATTACCAACTTGTATACTGAAGTACAGTTGTGTAACCAACTTCATTTCTTCTGTCTTGTGGTTCTGCCTTGCCACTATACTTTGCAGTGGTAAATGGTGGTTGACCAGGTCCAAAGTGCTGGAATACAATAAATGGCATGACATGTAGCGTCCTCTATTGGCATTCTCTTTTGGATCATTTCTACAATGCCAAATTAGAAAAGTAATTATTTATTATGAGAGTCCAAAGATAAGCCCTTAGTTCTCTGCAAAGTCCAAAGACAAACTTAAATCCTCTTTTGTTATCTTACTATTTTTCTTCTTCCCTAGAGAAACTAGAATAAAACTTAATTACAAAGGGATATATATATGTGAGATGGTAATAAAATATGGTAGTTTATAATTATTGCTGCTATATAGCTTATATAATAGCAAGAGCAATAAAATTCACAGGTTATAATATTTTAACTCTTCCAACTACTGTGTGACATTTTGAAATCTGTAATCTTGACAAGACAGAATTGTCAAAAGAGGTTGCATTGGGTAGAATCTGATCATTTATTAGGACGCTATATTCATTATTTTTACCTTTTTACTGAAAGTGCTATCACATCAGTTCCATTGGTGAGATCAAAGAAACCAAAGGGAACCCTGTACATTTATGGGTTTGTGGTAACAGCTAGTATTTCTTGAATGCCTGCTGTGCGCAGAAACAAGTCTATGCAGTCATTTGCAGCAACCTAGATAGGTGCCCAGTTACTATTCTTACTGCTTTATGTGTATTAACTCAGTCTGTATGACAGCTTTGTGAGATATAGGGACTGGTGTTCTGCCCACATCGTAATTGGGGAAAATGAGGCCAAGCGAGGGCTAGAAATCGACCAGGAAGTCAGGGTCCCATAACTAGTCAGTGGTGGAACAGTAACTGGAATTCACCCTGGCTCCAGACCCTAAACATTTAACTGGTTGGTCTTCGTCGGAAAGAATATGTCTATATTATGTTGGCATTCTGCTCTTTCATTAGCTTTACTATATTAAATCAGCTTTACTTTTCATCCTGTGAGCACACACAGCCTCTGGCCTGAGTTAGACGGTAACAAGCGGGGTTCTCCCCTCCTTGGAGGTAGTAGTGGCAATCAGCAACCTCAGTCCTTGATTATAACAGCGTCACCCGAAGGCTGACGCTGGTACAATTTCCTAGCCACAGAGCCTTGCCTGGTATTCTAATGTTATAGACCTTTTTTTTTTTTTTTTTAAGATTTATTTATTTGAGAAAGAGAGAGCACGCAAGCAGGAGGGGCAGAGGGAGAGAGAATCTCAGGCAGACTCTGCACCTAGCATGGAGCCCAACATGGGACTCGATCTCACAACCCTGAGATCATGACCCAAGTGGAAACCAAGAGTCAGATACTTAACCAACTGCACCACCCAGGCGCCCCTGTCATAGATCTTTTATAGCTTTCAGCGAAATGTATTGTGCCCCAACAATTTCATTTATAAAATAAATTGTATTTTATTTTCTCTCCAGGAAAAGGCTAAAGTGTTTTGCAAAGTTATGGACGATAAATGACGCAAAAGACCTACAGAAATGGAAAGACGAGTTTGAAATGGAAGAAATTCCAGGCTTCTCTTCTTGATTAAAATGAAGACTACATTTTTGGACAAAACATGGAGAATTAAAAATACCATCTGTACCAAACATCTCTCCAGTAACATCCTATCTTTGTGTGATGTGAGCATAAAATCAGAACTATGGTATATTCCATTGGAAACAGGCCTTTTGTGTAGAAAGTCTATTCCAGGTTCTTGTCATCCTAACTTATAAAAGTATAAACAGTTTTGAATATTAAGTCTTCTGTTATATAGTTAGAAAACTTCATGAATAGTAAGATTCACATAAAATCTGATCTCCTAAATGAAGCCTAACATAAACTTTTAGAGAATGATAGAAAAATTTAATTCATATTTTTATTTGTTCCAGTTCAGATTAATTTGCAACTGGGTGAGATGTCTAGCAGAAATATACCTTTTCATTTGAACTAATTTCATAATGCCACCAGTTTATTCACTATGAGTGTAAGAATTTTTGATGAGAAATAGAAAGATATCAAGCTTTTAGAAAGTAGAGCTCGGGGGACGCCTGGGTGGCTCAGTCGGTTAAGCGTCTGCCTTCGGCTCAGGTCATGATCCCAGGTTCCTGGGATCGAGTCCCACATCGGGCTTCTTGCTCAGCAAGGAGCCTGCTTCTCCCTCTGCCTGCCTCTGTCTCTAAGCCCGCTTCTCCCTCTGCCTGCCTCTGTCTCTCTCTCTCTGATAAATAAATAAAATCTTTAAAAAAAAAAAAAAAAAGAAAGAGCATGGAAGGAATAAGATCATATGAAATTTGAAAAGTTAAATACGCTCACAGTTTTAAGCAATTTAAAAATTATTGGATGAAATTATTTGTCATTCATTCAGGTAATAAACATTTAATGAATACTTGCTGTAAATAATGATTTTTTTCCTTGTTGAATTTTGGGTTTTTCAACTATCTGGCAGTTGCTACTTTTTAGGTTTAATTATGGAACCAAGGTTGCTGCTCCTAGCAAATACACAGAACTGAATTTTGGATCTTTCTGTTAATCAGTGTAGAAAATGTATGATCTCCCCGGTATCAAAGTATGTAGCTTTGTTGATAGTTGACAGCACTCGCTCCCTGCATGTTTAGGTAGACGTGTTCATCTGTGTCCCTGAGGTTTTAACAGCACTTACAACCTGACTTCTCATAGCCCGTGTGGTTTTGTTTGTAAATCTGTGATCTTGCACAAAGGCTCTCCATCCTATTTCACACCCATTTGTTACTCCTGCTTGTTAAATGTCTTCCCCACATTTGACGGACATATTTCTAATTCCTTTAGTTTATTTCCTCCAGTGGTCCTAACATTGATGCCTTGACACAGGAGTCAGTATAACCTCCCCAAGTTGAAGGGTGGTTGGTTGCCGGACTTTTGAATTGCTCACACTGAAGCCCTTTGATTCCTAGCCTTTTTGCAGTTAAGAGTATGAAACCACTTGATTGATTCCACAATCCCTTCAGAAGTACTAACACAGTAAAATCCTCAAGAATGTCTCAAAAGAGAGTTTGCTATTGGAATTTACTATCTAAATTTTAGAAAGAACAATACTTTTTAAATGGTGTTTTAATACTCTATATAATTATAAATGTTTTATATTCTTTCTAACAAGGTTTTAGAGGTAGTGCTGTCACCTTATGGTAGGCCAGTAGGAAAAGGAGATGAATCCAGGAATGTCATACCCTTGCCTGAAGGAGCTGCAGGGACCAGCCATCAGTGGTCATGTCCAAGGGGACATTTTGGGCCATCTCTGGCTTGGGCAGGCCAGCGTCAACATTTAAGCAGGTATGGGCTCCAGGAGCAGTATGTCCAGGCAGCAGCAATACATATTGTCTGGCAAGTGACAATGTGGACTATTACAAGGTAAATCTTTAACACGAGGCAGGATATCAGCCAGCCAGCCAGTGTGCAAGAGGTCAGGCCTGGTTAGGAGGAACTGCATTTCCAAGTGAGGCCCCTTCCTGGCCAGATAGCTGAGACATTGAAGGGAAAGTTGTGACAGAGTCCCAGTTAGGAAGATGGCACAAAGGCCATGAAGATTGGCAGGAAAAACGCAATTGATTGGGTACATACTGCAGATAACCAAACCATGGGGTACAATTCTAATGTCTTCCAGATACTAATTTCATTTCCTTTCAATATATACCCAGAAGTAGAATTGCTGGAGTACATGGTAGTTCTGTTTTTAATTTTTCGAGGAACTTCCATATTGTTTTGCATAATGGCTGTACTAATTTATATTCCTAGCAGTAGTGCACAAGAGTTTCCCGTTCTCTACATCCTCACCAATGCTTGTTATCACTTGTCTTTTTGATAATAACTATTCTAGCAGGTGTGAGGTGTTCTCTTATTGTGGTTTTGATTTGCATTTCCCTGGTGATTACAGTCAGCTTTAGAACATTATCATTACTCTAAAAAAGAAACCTGTACTTATTAGCATTCCTCCATTCCTCCCCAAAATCCCTAGTCCTAGACAGCCATTATCTGCTTTCTGTCTCTATAGATTTTCCTATTTTGGACATTTCATATGAATGGAATCATTACAATATATGGTCTTTTGTATCTGGGTTCTTTCATTTAGCATTTTGTTTTCAAGACTCATTCATGTGGTAGCAGGTAATGGTACTTCATTCTTTATTATTGCAGACTACTCTGCTTTATGTACTTCATTTTATTTATCGGTTCATCATCTGATGCACATTTGGGTTGTTCCCATTTTTTGGCTTTTATGAGTAATTCTGCTGTGAATGTTTTATGTGGCAAGACACAGGGTTGTTTTTTTAAAGCTCCCCCAAATAATTCTAATGTGCAGTCAGGTTTGTGAGCCACTATTCTCAGTGATGACAAATGGCTAAACTTCTCAGTGGATTGACAACTATTTGCTCCATCTTTCCTCTGCTTTATCTGTCACTTAGGAGAAAGTATGGCAAACTAGAGACCACCCTCCACCCCAATACTTATTTGTTGAAAGAGGAAAGAAAACCCAAACCCTTTCAGATTAGAAACTCAAGGAAAAGACTCTTCTTTTCATAATCAAGATACCATTTCACTAGGGAGTCAAGATCCATACAAAAGTATACTACATCTTAAAATTTAAAAAAAAAATTTTATTCTGATAATTTATTCAAGTTTGAGCCTGTTGTCATGGTTGGAGTGGTAATGGGGCTGGTGAAAATGCTCCCTGAATGAATTCCAGAGTAAAGGCTAGTTTGAAGTCCAGTGTTGACCTTTACTAAGTTCCAAAATCAATATTAATTACTGCTGGGCTTTGTAATTATAAAAGTGCTATTTGATGCTCTCTACCAAGGATATGGGTAGAGAGAGAAAGAAACTTGAATTAATACCATCTGTGGTTTCTAATTTTATAATTAAGGTCAATTCCTCTTTGGAGTGTTGTATAGTTAGTATATATGATTACTGTTAGGTTTGTTATTACCATGAGGGGGATATCCTTTCTGGTTTGGTTGGGACAGTCTCAGTCTATACTTGTTTTCTTGGCATCGTTATTAAAAGTCTCTTTCGGGATGCCTGGGTGGCTCAGTTGGTTAAGCGTCTGCTTTCAGCTCAGCTGGGAGCCTGCTTCTCTCTCTGCCTGATGCTCCCTCTGCTTGTGCGCTCTCTCTCTCTCTCTCTGACAAATAAATAAATAAAATCTTAAAAAAAAAAAGAAAATACTTACAAAAAAAAAGTCTCGGGGTGCCTGGATGGCTCAGTCATTAAGCATCTGCCTTCGGCCCAGGTCATGATCCCACCCTGGGATCGAGTCAGGCATTGGGCTCCCTGCTCAGCAGGAAGCCTGCTTCTCCCTCTCCCACTCCCCCTGCTTGTGTTCCCTCGCTCGCTGTCTCTCTCTGTCAAATAAATAAAATCTTTATAAAAAAATAAATAAAAATAAAATCAGTTATCATATTCTGAATAATCTGAAGGATTCTCTTAAGAGAGAACAGTGGCACATACTCTGCATTCGTGATAAAGCTGATTTCTAGTACTGTGACTAATGGTTGGACACATACTTCATAAATTATGCCTTCTTACCAAATGAAGCCAAATATCTTCAAGGTGAACAAAACGTTTCACAATAGTGAGAAATAGAGGGGCGCCTGGGTGGCTCTGTCGTTAAAGCGGCTGCCTTCGGCTCAGGTCATGCTCCCAGGGTCCTAGGATCGAGCCCCGCATCAGGCTCCCTGCTCAGCGGGAAGCCGGCTTCTCCCTCTCCCACTCCCCCTGCTTGTGTTCCCTCTCTCGCTGTCTCTCTTTCTCTGTCAAATTAAAAAAATAAAAATTAAAAACAAAGTCTCTTTTACTCACAAATGTCCCGTTTTAAATAAGACATTATATGGTTACCCCAGTTATAGATCCTACTTCATGTGCAAACTTTACCTACTTGATGGATTTTAAATATCACCTTAAAAAATCCATTTTTTTCTTATGCATTGTATGAACTGATTCTTAAAGCAAAGACCCACCAATCGTTTTTTCTGTTTGTAATAAATGCTTTATATTGTGACATTTAGAAAATGACTCTCTGCTAATTGGCGTGTTAGAGCTTTGTTCCATAGTCTATTTTAGAAAGAGGGGATAGAGGGGCAGAGGGAAAGAGAGAGAGGGCAAGCGGACTCCCTGTTCGTAGCCCGAGGCGGGGCTCCATCCCATGACCCTGAGATCAAGAGTTGGACACTTAACCAACTGAGCCACCCAGGCACCCCGCTAATCTACGTTTGAGACTACATTCCTGAAGATTACTCGTCATCTGCCTTGTTTCAATGAAATCATGGTGAAGAATGTGCACCTACATGACTTGGTAAGACACACAGCAGGACTGTCTTCTTGCAGAAATAATTATTGAGCTTGGAAGAAGAATCTTCTCTCGGGTTGTTTTGCCCTTTGCTCAAATCCTCCCTTCATTGCCTTTGACTGTATGTTCCTTTTTTTGGAGTTGGGGGACATTCAGAACAGTTTATTTCTACATCAGAAATAACGCATGCCATTTTACCTCCTTTTTATAAACCTACTTCCCTGAATCTCCCTCACTGGATTGGGCGTGTCCTTCCCTTTATCAGAGTCACCTAAGGAGTTTTTGAAATGCATATTTCTAGGCAGCCCTC